CTCGCTCGCACTCAGGTCGGCAGGTCACCTCCGCCGCGGCCCCGCGCCTTCCCCGCCTGGCCGCAGCTCCTCCGAGAGCGAATCCTCCGTCACCGCCGTCCCGGTTTCGTCCAGCCCGTTCGTCCCGCGGCAGGCTCTCTTTCTCGCTACCGCCCCTTTAACCAACCCGGAAATGTATCTGCTCCCACCGTCTCCAGCGTCCGCGAACAAAATGGAGACGGGGGTGGGGGGAGGGAAGGAGGAGGGAGCGGAGCGCCGAGGGGCGCGCGACGCATGCGCGCCGGGAAAGCCTGCCCCCTACCGGCGCGCGGCCATCTTGAGAAGGTCGCCAGAGTTCCACTCAGCAACTAAAAGCGGGGATTTTGGGACCTGCTGATGCCAGGGCTTAACCCATAGAGATGCTTATTTAATTGGCCAAATGCAGCCTAAGAATCTGGACCTTTAAAATTCCGGATGATTTTAACACGCTTCCGAGGTGGAGAACCACTGAGATAACCAATGCTTCTTAAATGTATTTATTTTTCCTGCTGATTCGTGCGCACACCCCACCATAATTCCTTATCTAGTCTAGAGTACGGAAGAACGGGACTCGGCTAACCTCGCAAGGGTCCAATAGGCAAGCTCTGGTTGACATAGCAACAGAGAGGCAGGCCTCTGCTAACAAATCATCATTTACGTCACTTCAGCCACCCGACCTGAACAGCCTCTTTAGCAACAGAAGTTTCCCCAGCTCACTGGTCTGATGGTACTATAGACTCCTCTAGGTGCTTAAGCAAGCAACAGAAGTTTCCCCAGCTCACTGGTCTGATGGTACTATAGACTCCTTTAGGTGCTTAAGCAAGGGAAAGGACTCCTGCCTTCGCTGGCCGAGGTGCTAACTCCGTGGCACATGACTAAGAATCTCTTCTTCCCCTTCCACAAAAGCACTTTACCACTGTAGCCGACCCTGATGTTTCATAGCCTCACAGTGCTCTTCGGGTTAACTCAGTGCCCAGCTCTGAGCCCCAAGCAAAGAACTGGGACTTAATCTTCACTTACTAATTGTGTGCTTTGGGCCTCAGCTACCTCATAGTGTTTGTCTCCGTCTGTCTCATGGAGTCATTGGACAGCTCAAATCAGGTAACGAATGGGATGGCATGTGATAAGCCATAAGCTGTTATTATTTCTGTTTTCTTTCTGTTCTGCCTTAATGCTGAGCTCCACCAACAAGTCAAGTATACGTCACATTAAGTGCCTGCTGTTGGCCATTCACTAGGCTAGGCACTGGGGAGATGGTTCCCCAGAGGTCACTGAGACAGAACCTCTGTCCTTCGGTACTCACCCATACTGGTGGGTAGACTGGCATGTAAACACAGAGATCCAAGTCAGCATGTGATTAGTGCTGTGGTGACATGCGTATTTGGATGCCACAAGAGTGATTAATTCCTGCTCAAGAATGAAAGAAGGTTTCGTAAACGGTTTTAACTAGTCCTTGAAAGATGAGTAGAATTTCATTACCAATCAGAGAAGGCCAGGAACGCATGCCAGGCAGGATCAGTGGGTGCAAAGATGCTCGGGTATCTACATCCTGCATGTCTGAAGGTGGGGTGATTGGCCAAGTGAGGCAATGAATCTGAACTGTTTGCTTCCCAGCTCTTCAGCCTCATCTCTCTGGCCCATCTTTGGTGGCTCTACATTATATTGTCCTGCTTTCTATCCCAGCAGCACACCAAGAAGTTCCCACCTCAAGGCCTTCAAACTAGCTATACCTGTCTCTGCCTCATTTTTCAATCCTTGGGTCAAATGTACCCTCTCCAGAGGGTTTTCTCTGTCCAGGATAGGTGAGGTAAGCCCCTACTGTCTATTATATCACTCTTTCGATCAAGGACAGCCAGTAGGGTTGAACACAAGGACATCTCACTTGGAGAAATAGCAATAAAACCAACTTAGGCCATCTCCTATTTTCTGAGTGAAGTTTGTAGGGATAGGCCAGAGGAGGAAGGGAAAGGAACCTGTTCTAGGACTAATTTGTGCAACACAAAAAGAATCAGGGCACAGTGCACAACATTTTGATGTGATTAGAGCTAGAAGTAAAGAAAGAAACTAGGTTTTAAAAAGTAATCGTGGGGGGGGGGCTGGAAAAATGGCTCAGCAGTTAGAGTACTGGCTTCTCTTGAAGAAGACTGGGGTTCAGTTCCCAGAACCCACATGTCAGCCAACAACCCTCTGTAACTTCAGTTCCAGGGGATCAGATGCCCTCTTCTGGTTTCCTCAGGCATTGCACACATGTGATGCACTTACATCGATGCAGGGAACGCACTCATATATATTTAAAAAAAAAATGGGAGGCTGGATAAATGGCTTAGTGGTTAGGATCACTGGTTGCTCTTGCAGAGCACCTGTGTTTGATTCCCAGCACCACATGGCAGCTAACTGTTTATAACTCCAGTTCCAGGGGCATCTGATGCCCTCTTCTGATCTCCTTGGGCATTGCATGACCTATATGCATTCAGGCAATTCACTCATAGACATAAAATAAAAATAACAAGGGGGATGGAGAGATGGCTCAGCAGTGAAGAACACTGGTTGTTCTTGTAGAAGTCCCAGGTTTGAATCCCAGTACCCACATGGCAGCTAATAACTGCCTGTAACTCCAGTCCCAGGGGATCCAACAGCCTCTTCTGACCTCCGCCAGCATTGCACAACATGGGTGCACTTATCTACATGCAGGCAATGCACGAATACACATAAAAGTAAAAAAAAAAAATAGGGGCTGGAGAGATGGCTCAGCAGTTAAGAGCACTGACTGCTTTTACAGAGGACTTGGGTTCGATTTCCAGTACCCACATGAAATAAAATTTCTTGTTTTGTTTTGTTTTTGGTGTTTTTGAGACAGGGTCTCCCTGTAGCCCCAGCTGTCCTGGAACTCACTATGTAGACTAGGCTGGCCTTGAATTCACTGAGATCCACCTGTCTCTGCCTTCCAAGTGCTGGGATCAAAGGCATGTGCCACCACACCTGGCCAAAATAAAATATTAAAAAAAAATAACAAAATATTTTTTTAAATAGCAAATAGGAATAAGGCACTTTCTGGGCATAGTGGCTCATGCTTGTAAACCCAGTGCTAAAAGATTGAAGCAGGAGGATGACATTAGTTTAAGACCAGGAGGGTTAGAGTGAGTTTTCAACTACTCTAGGCTACACCCCTATTTCAATAATAATAATAATAACAACTACAACAACAGGATTGGGGAGATGGTTCAGTGTCAAAGTGTTTATTGCCCAAACATGAAGATTCAAGTTTGGATCCCCAGCACCTACATAAAAGCTGTGCATGGTGGTGTGCACTTGTAGGCAAAGTCAAGCAGATCCTAGGGGCTCACTAGTCTACCTGAATCAGTGAGCTTCAGGTTTTGTGAGAGATCCTGTCTCAAAAAATAAGGTGGAAGGATTGGAGAGATGGTCCAGTGGTTCAGAGCACTTGCTGCTCTTGTGGAAGACCCGGGTTTGGTTCCCAGCACCCACATAGCAGCTCACAACCATCTGTAACTCCAGGTCCAAGGGGATCTGATACCTCTTCTGGCCTTCACAGACACCAGCATATACATGGTGCACATACATACATGTAGGTAAACACTCAGATACATAAAAATAAATGTTTTCAAGATTTTTTAAAATTTTATTTATGGGCTGGAGAGATGGCTCAGCAGATAAGAACACTGGTTGTTCTTGCAGAAGACCTGGGTTCAAATCCCAGCACCCATATGGCAGCTAACAACTGTCCGAAACTCCAGTTCCAGGGGATCCAACAGCCAATTCGGTCCTCTGCAGGCATTGCACGACACGGGTGCACTCACATACATGCAGGCAATACACTCATACACATAAAAATATAAAATATT